AGATAGATAGATAGATAGATAGATAGATAGATAGATGGACTGTAAGTGCAGATTTATCAAATTAGAGCCAGTACAGGAAGTACAGTTAACCTCTTTAAAAGGTCTTCAGGGAGTGTAAAAGCACATATGTATTAGACATTCTTTCACTTTCAGCTCTTCAAATCAATTTTAGCCACGTTTTCTCTCTCCTCACATCTTTCTTTCACTCTGCCTGTCCCTCCTAATTCTGAGGAGAATGCAGTGGAGCAGAGGAATCTTGGATGAGAAAAGTGGTAGCTAAGTCCTACTGAGCTGTTTTAGCTGCCACGTTACAACAGGCCTTTTTCTTTCTCACTTGCTCTTTCTCAGTGTTTTGGAAATGTTCTTTATATGAGGTCACCCAGTGCAGCCTGGGACTGCCATCAGCAGCTGCATATTATCCAGTATTCTTCTCTTTCCTCTTCTCTCCATCTTCAACAAAACAAAATACATCCAACACAACTAAATCTTAAGCCACCAGCTGCTTAGCTTTACTGATTTCAAGCCAAAAAATAAACACACACACACACACAGACACACACACTTCAATATCGTTTAATGGTGCCCAACTGCAGCTTCAAAACCATTCCAGACATCTGCTTGACAGATAAAAGATATATTGGAAAGAATGAGTCTCAGGATTTTGTTCCACAACCCTGGACTTTAACATCACGTCTGTTGTTATTCCGGTAAGAATGAGCTTGTGTTGTCAGGTAAGAGCTCTGCCAGAGAGTGAGAGGAAGAGAAGAATCATGCCCTGACCAGCTACTGGAATTTAATCTTGCTCAGATTTTCACCAAGGAATTTGCGGAAAGTCTTTGATTGACGTAGGCAAGGCTGGAGGGTTTGGAAACTCAATCTATCGATTAGTGAGTGTGCTATGGTACAAGACGCCAGCATGTAGTTGGCACGATGCCCACGCTCAACCTGTCACTCAGGTGTTTAAGTATTGTCTATCATCAGATGCCCTCCTACGGAACACCTGGGTATTTTGTAGCTCAGGCTGAAAAATTTGTGTAAAAGCACTAAGCTATTGTTGACTTAACAATAATACACTCTAAATGCTTCTTGCATTTGTTTGAATGTCATCCAGGCACCTGAATGAAAATAATAAGCAAAGAGTATGTTTGTGAAAGTCTGTTTATGCCTTTCATTGAGAAAATGATGTCAGAGCAGCAGGTGCTTGCCCTACATGTCTTTCTATGGGTGTTTATAAAAAAGACAATTCAAAAGAGCTGACAACAGGACCACAGGGTATTTACTTTCACCTTCCTAATAAAGGAATGGATAATATAAATGGCCCGGGGACAGCGTGAAAGAGTTTTAGAACAGCTATTGGGGCAGTTCTTACGTTCCAACAATCTTACATTTGTTTTAAGTATGTACATCTGATTTTATGCCTTGCTATTCTAAATATTTGGTTTTCTGGGATTTATTGAACAGTGATTTGCAAAGTCTGCTGATGGAAATACGTCATCAATCTAACTGGCTTACATCGAAATGTCAGAATTGCGATAGTAAATTGTGATAGTCTTGGAAACATCGGTTAGAATGGGTTAAAAATGACAAAGTTTATTTTTTACAGCTGTCATGAAGTTAGATTACAACATTTCCAGCTATTACTGCAAACTAAAAAAAAAAACAGATTATAATTAATTTGACAATCTACTAATGGAAAACTTATTGCTGAGAATGTCCTTATCTGACATTACAAATATAAAAAAAGCAGTCATCCACTTTACCAGGGGTTCAGTGCAAATTTTTTTGTACCCTCAACATCTTTAGAGATAATATCATCAGTCTGTGATTTTATATAATCTAAACAATGATAGCATAATTGTCACTACTGCAGCTTTGTCTGATTCTCCATCAGGAGGCTGGGGGCCCGGGGCCCACTAGGGGGCCTCAGCAAACGTCTAAGTGAACCGCAAGAAGATTTCAATTTATTGAAATAAAAATGTTTTTTTTTTCCATAAAAATATATTTTTTATAAATAAAAGAAAAAAGAAAACTAACATAATTATTATTTTATTTTTGTCTCATCAAGAACTGTTGTTTTAACTGATTAACTGAGGAACAGTTCTTAAAACCTCTGGAATCATAAAATTAATCACAGTTAATATTTTTTTTCTACTGACTGCAGAATTACCCAAATTTGAGAAACACTGATCTAGGTGATGTCCACTCCCTAATACGAGCCTGTTAGTTTCCTCCAGTATAAAATGTTTATTTTTGGAGAAAGATCTAATTCTTATGTTTTACAAGTCTTGATTTAATCAAAATGTGAACCCACCCTACATCATAAATTTTAATATGGGCCAAGTCACAGACTGAGGTTTGATGTTTCTGTGGCCTGTGTGTGTGCGCAAGTTGCGGTAATTGCAATGACATGTGTGATGTGGTTCCAAATTATGTGGAGGGATGTTCCATTGCCAATATTACATTATAAAACAGTGACCGAAAGGCATATGTCCATGTGTACACTTAAATAAGTGATAGAGATTGATCTCTCTCACCGGGCTTTATGCCAGAG